GGGGCAGCAGGAGAGTGGGTTCTCCAAGAGGAAGGCAGGCAGGGAGGGCCCTGGAAGTGTGGCAGGAGTACCGGAGCGACAGAGGAGGTGACCGCCGTGCAGGTGGCAACCATCAGAGCCGCCTGAACACCTCACATGACCTTCTGCTGGGAGGCTCTGCAGGAGCTGGGCAGGTCCTGGCTTGCACTCCGGGCATGGCTGGTCCCTGGGCTCAGCTCTGCACTCCCTCCCCGCGCCTCATGAGATGTGTGTGTGACCGGAGCCTAGAGGTCTCAGAGCCGGGTGTCTTTGAGGTTGGTCTTCTGAGCGTAGCACCTCCTCCGATGTTACCTTACGGCCCGGTCTTGGCCAGAAAGTTTGAGAACGAAGCTAAGCTCAGAGCTGGCGAAGGAGCCCAAGGTGCGCCTCTTCCAGAGCGAAGGCCGGTCTCAGCCGGCCGGGGTAGTAGGCGTTCAGAGCGACACCAGCATTTTGTCCCACCAGCGGGTTCGCTTCTGAAGAGCTTACTCTTTCGTTTTTCACTGAGAGCTGGCTATTAGGTTTCTGGAAACTGTGGGATGTGTTTAAATGAGTCACAGCATTCGGCCGAAATAGAGGCTCCATCTGCTGCCTTTGCGTGGTCCCAGCCCTGTTCCCTGTGCCTGTAAGGGAAGCAGGAGGACTTGGTGTTCCGTGAGCTTGCCCTGCCTGGCAGACACAGCCCCACCAGTGCTTTGGGGAGTGGACCCGGTCCCCTGAGCTGCTCCACTGGAGACCCTGCATGAGCCACTGTGTCTGGGTGAGAGGGTGGGTGCCGGGGCCAAGGGCTCCTGCCCACTGGCCTCTGCCAGCTCTTTCCTGGGCGTGCCCTTGCGTTTGCCCTGGTGTCCGAAGGGGGAGCACCCGCTGCAGAGATGGTTCCTCAGGTCCTCGCGGCCTCCTGTGCCTGATGCTCGGCTGTGTCCCTGGGCCTGGGCACGCAGAGGCAGCTCCCTCTGCTGAATCGGCTCTCGGAGGGCGGTGGCCGGGCCTCGGTTCCGGAGGCGCCGTGGGAGCCTGAGACAGCACAGGGGGAAGGGCACAGGTCAGGGGGAGAGAGACCTGCTCTCAGTCACGCCTGCCTCTGCACGGCCCTTCCTCCCTTTCGGTCTCCTTTCCTCACCGCCCTCCGTCGCGGAGCTGCTGCGCGGTTAACCGAAAGGGCGCCTGTGAAGTGTTCGTCACGCACTAAAAATGACCGGCTTCCTTGCCTCCCCCGCCGCAGCTGGACGCCTCTCTTTTGCACATGCCCCTCTTCCATCAGTGACAGTACGTTCTCCTGAGCGGAGGGAGGGAAGAGCTGTGCTGTGAGTCAGGGCACAGCACAGAACCTGCTGACACCCACGCAGCTCCCGGGGGCGGGGGGGGGGGGGGTGGGGGGCAGCTCTGCGGGTGGGGGGGGTCCCTCCTGGAGCCACGTGCTCCATCAGCGGTTGGCTGACCCACTTGGTCGCTCACATACTGCCTCTCACTGGGCAGCCGGGGCCTGGCCTTGCGCCCGCTGGGAGGCTGGGCCCGTGGAGTCACCCCCACTGCTGGCTCCTGCAGGGCAGCCACCGGGGCGCTGCGCTCCTGGCCTGCCCTAGGCCCGACCCTGCTCTGGGCGCACAGCAGACGCCCTGCCCTCGCCTCTAGGGCGTCTCTCTGCCCTTGGCGTGCGCACACGGGTCGCTCCTGAGGCCTCCAGTGAATTTCCAGTGCATATTTTTGTATCTTCGTACCTGGACCTTTGTGAGCTCGGGGCCCAGTCTGCATTCCGCCTCCCAGAGCGGAAGCTGCGTTTTGAGCAGTGAAGACCTGCCAGCCACGGCACTGCAGGTCGGTCAGGCTACATAAACACCCGGGTAAAGTCCACACGTCCACAGCAGGGGCGGGAACATTGTTTCTGCCAAGGCCATTGGCGATGGACAGCGTCATTCGCGGCCGTACAGCATTATCCACTTACAAGTACCTGCTCTGTTTGGTCAGACATTTAATGGACTCGCCCTAATGCCTTGGCAGGGCCTTCGATGGCCCGCACCCTGGTCTCAGGGGCAGCCTGGCAGCGGCTGTGACCAGGGCTGTGCAGACCGTGCGGGGCGCAGTGTGGGGCAGGAGGGAGCGCACGCGCACGGGTTGGGTCGTGGGTGCGGTGGGCTCCGTGCGGCGGGGACAAGCTGAGCAGAGGATCTGCGCCCAGGAAACCTCTGGTTTTACTCGGGTTTCCGTTTCCCTTTTCCCTCGGCCTCTTTCCTATTGAGGTGAAATGCACGTCACATAAAACGACCGTCTGAACGAGGACAAGGCAGCGGCGTCTAGCACGTTCCCCATGTTGTGCAGCCCCACCGCTCTCCTCCTAAAACACTCACCGCCTCAAAGACACCCCAGATCCAGGAGGCAGTCCTCCCCGCCCGCCGCCCAGCCCTGGGCGGGCACCGGCTGTTGGCTCTGTCGATGACCTGCTCTGGCGATGGCATAGACACGGACTCACACGTGGCCGTGGTGCACTCAGGAGGGGGGAGCATGGCAGGCGCAGCCTGTGCCCTGGCAGGAGCTGGCAGGGGAAGCCGGCTCGCCTTTACGCCATGGCCGCTGCCTGGGGCTTAGGGCCTCCTGGCTCCTGGAGCCTCCCCTGAGCCTCAAACGGGACTCTTCACACTCGAGTTGTCCCCACATGGGTCCCAGAGCAGAGTCTGCAGGTCTGGGGCTGGGAGGGGACCGGGAGCCCTCATGGCTTGGGCTGGACAGAGCTGGCACCCTGGGAGGAGGGCATCCCCGGAAGGCAGGCTGGGAGGTAAACAGAGGGTGGCCCTGGCCAAGGCGCTGGCAAGGGCTGTGGAGAGGCGTTGGGAACTTGCCTCTTCGGTGGCGTGTCCCCCTCAGAAAGCGGAGCCTGGCAGCAGAGTCCTGGGGCGTGTGGCGGGCCTGGAGGTGTCTTGAAGGGGCCCCGGTTGCCACAGGCTGGCGAGACCAGCAAGTCCCTTACAGTTCGCAGGCAGGGCGCCCTGTGCTTTCCCCAGACAAGGGCAGCGTCCCGGGTTCAGTCCCATGTGCCCAAAGGGGAGAGTCCCTAAGGTTGTTTCCACTGGTGTCCTGGGGGGCGGGGGCGCTGAAATCTAGGGGCTTGATGGGGAGACCCTTCCAGGAGCGGAGGGCCTGTGGGCGGAGACTCTGGCCACCCGCCTGGCACCTCCCTCTCGGCCCCCTTGGCTCCCAGCACAGGCCCCCCCTCCCCGGCTCCCAGGGGCCTCCTCCTGATGAGCTGCTACCCACGTCTGAGGAGTAAGCGGAAAGGAGGCCTTAGGGAAGCCCTCCCGCCGCTCCCGCCAAGGAAGCCAGGCCATCGCTCCGCAGTAAACCAGGAAGCCAGGCCATCACCGCAGTAAACCAGGAAGCCAGGCCATCACTACAGTAAACCAGGAAGCCAGGCCATCACTACAGTAAACCAGGAAGCCAGGCCATCGCTGCAGTAAACCAGGAAGCCAGGCCATCACCGCAGTAAACCAGGAAGCCAGGCCATCACCGCAGTAAACCAGGAAGCCAGGCCATCACTACAGTAAACCAGGAAGCCAGGCCATCGCTACAGTAAACCAGGAAGCCAGGCCATCGCTCCAGTAAACCAGCCGCGGGTCCGCCCTGGCCGTGGTGATAAGGGCTGAGCGGCCTCGGGGAAAGGCGTGTGGATTAGCGGATGCCTGTCTCACCTGAAAGTAGAAGCTGCTTTCGGGCCTCAGGAGGCTCGGTTCCCACAGTGTGGCCGTCGGGCTTGAGGGAGCCTGCACCTGTGAAATCGAACACAGGTGCTTACAGTGTGTTCTTTTCTTCTTCCTCGAGCCGAGACCCGAAGTTAAGTCCGATTTCCAAACGGTCCATGCGTTAGAAACAGGACGTGGGCCGGAGGAAGCCAGAGGAAAATGGCATTTGTTTTGGGTTGTAAAATGGCTTCTGGTTAAATATGACGAATTGAAACATCTGTTTGCTCAGCCTCCTTACCGAACTAACAAAAACTGCAAGAAGAACAAGAAACAGGAACGTCTATCTTTAACAACCTAAGACACAGGCATATGCTGAAACGCAGTGAACAAAGAATGGTTTCCAAGTACAGGGAGGGCGGGGCCAGGAGGGGAGGTAGGCCGGGCCTAGCAGGGAAATTTGCCTCTACGGAGCCAGGGCACGGGGTCAGAGTCTAGAGAGCCAGACCCCAAACCCCCTTCTTGGACTGGTTTGCAGAGCCGGCGTGTGGGGGACCTTTCGAGCGTCCCTGACTCCTGTGTGATGCCAGGGGGTTGCTAAGGAGGTGGAGTTACCCAAGGGATTGAGCAGGTGGGGCGAAAACCGTGGGTTGCCAGCAGCCGGGACAATGGAAAGACAAAGAGAAAGAAAATAGGTATAATTGGTGTCCCTGGAGAAGAGAACAAACCAAGCGAATGAGCAGTTTCTGAAGGCACAAGAGAAAACCTCTCCCTGAAATGGAGGAGCGCATACACCTTCAGTGTGAAAGAACTCTGAGCTGCAGGAGAAGTAGGCAGGGCCCGTGCACACATACCTCGGTGAGGTGACTGGGATTCCACTGCATTAGGGGACGTGTTAGGAATGGGGCGCACGGGGCGCTAACCCGCTGGCCAGGGCTCTCCACAGCATAGTCAGTGCCACCGTTCAGGGGCTGTGCCTGCCAAGTCTTCAGGGGAAGGAAGCGTGAACCTAGGGTTTTATGTCCAGACGAGCTGTTCAAGTCTAACGACCGCAAAGGTGTTCAGACTCGTGAGAACGAGAGAACGTGGTTCCTACGAGCTCTTTTGAAGTGAGTGAGTGAGTAAAAGCCTCTGTGGTAGATGAACTCCATCAGACACGCGTGGAGAAGCGGGCGAAGGGCTAGTCCCCTGCACAGAGCCGTAGACCAGGGCGGCACCTGAGGCCACGGGCCCTCGGAGTCATGGCCTGCGCTGCCTGTCACAGCTCTGCGTGGAGACGTGCAGCCCTCAGAGTTACGCTGAGCTCGGGCGATGATGCTCAGCTGGCCGGTGCCCACACAGCTCGCAGGCCTCCGGGAAAGCCGCCGGAGGGAGGAGACGGCCGAGCGAAGGTCCGGGGTCAGCCACACGTGTCCTCTGAGCTCTTTCCCGTGGGGACGAGTGCGCCTGAGTGGGCCTGGCCCGGTCTGAGTAAGACGCTCCAGGAAGCTAGCTGTCACTGGGCAGGTCTCCGTCACAGATGCGTCCATGGCAGACCTTACCGATCGATGGTGACACCTTCCCCACGGATCCTTCGCAAACCCCGCCCTCCGGGCAGCCACGGTCAGTTAGTGGGGGTAGAGGACAGTTGCCCTAGTTTCCATCCTGTTCTGGATTCTGGAGACGGGCTGGGCCTAAAGGGAACCAAAGCCAAATCCCACTGTCCCAAGAGATGCGCTCAACCCAGGGCCCACGTGGGCCTCCGGGCAGGAACGAGGCCCAGGCTCGCTTTCCTGCGGCTGTGGCCTCCTCCCGGCCTCCTCCCCGCCTCCTGGGGCCCCTCCTCTTACCCTGGCAGCTGCCCCTGGCCTGTGTTTGATGGCGGCAACTCTTGCTCCTGCCACGCTCTCCTGCCACGCTGTCTGCCTTCCTGGCCCCCCTCGGTCTCAGCCCAGACACTTCCCTCGGCAACGCAAAGCAGCCAGAGCTCACCCAGGCACATGATCCCCTGCCCCAGGCACCTGGCCCGGGACCCGCTGACGCTGGCTTGTCCACAGGAAGTCAGCGGCTGGTTTCTAAGTGGGAAGGAGGAAGGGAGGTGGTGGGTATCTGGGCAGCACTGGTTTCTCCCGTGGGTTTGCCTGCTCGGGGTGTGCGGACTGTATGACGAGTGCACCTGCGCACCTGCCGGGGCTCCACCACGCTGGCGGGGCGTGGCCGCTGCCTGTGCCCAGGGGGACCCAGTTCTCTAGGGTCTGTGGGTCTTGGGGTCTCACCCTCCTGGTGGGCAGCAGCTTCAAGGGGCCGGGGAACCAGGAGGGAGGACGCCAGCCTCGTGGGGAGCTCTGCTTATAGCGTGGCCCGTGGGTGTGCATCTTCCCCCCAACCCGGGGGCGACCCCTGGCTTCCAGAGAGCATCTCAGAGCCCGGCCAGTGCCTGAGCGTTGACCTATGAACCAGAAGGTCACGGTTCAATTCCCAGTCAGGGCTTCATCCCCAGTGTGGGGTGTGCAGGAGGCAGCCAGTCAATGATTCTCTCTCATCATTGATATCTCTCTCTTCCCCCCCCCCTCTTCTTCTCTGAAATTTGGAACCTGGGAGTGAGGAAGGTAATGGTAACAGTGCCGGGGGAGAGGGAAGGGGGGGAGGGAAAAAGAGCGTCTCAGAGGCTGAGGACGGCCTCTCTGGGTGCTGCGCTGCGTCTCAGAGCCGCTCACCCTGCGCGTGGCTGTGAGCAGGGCCAGTTCTCGCTGTTCCTGGGTGGTCAGGAGAGATGGGGAGGGCAGCCCCTGGCCCAGGCTCCCTGACACCGACTCCGTGTCTCTAAGAGGGCAGGGCTGGGGCAGGAGGGACTCTGGTCCGAGCAGCGATGGCGGCTCCTTTAAAGACGGGGGAGTAAGCATTTTCTCTGCAGTGGCCCCCAAACCGGGGTGCACACGTGAGGAGGAGAGGGAGGGAGATAGGCAGCGGGGCCAGGGAAGAAACGCGGAGATGCAGTTCACAGCTCTCTCCTCTCGCCCTTTCATCCTCCCTCTTGGGAGGTGTGTTCCATCAGCACTGGCCGTGCACAGACTCGGGGGTAAGTGTGCACAGGCCGAGCATACGCAGACATGTCTGATGGACAGGGACCCATGGCCGCAGAGCAGGAGGCTGCTGGCCTGAAAGCTGGGCGAGTCAAGAGATGCTTTCTTGTGTGAAAACTGACTTTTCCCCAAACTCGGACTTTGTGAATTCTCGCATCCCTTCCTGAGAGCGTTTCTCCAGCACCCAGCCGGCTGCCTGCTCCCCGTTCGGCAGCCTCTGCCTCTCCTGAAAACAGGCACCACGTGTCCCTCCTGGTGGGTCTCAGAGGAGCAGTGCCTATCGCAGAAAGGTCAGCCGTGCATTCATTAAGCCTGTGTGAGCCGCGGGCGCTTCCGGCTGCTCCGCCTTAGAAAACAGCTTCCCGAGCTCTCTCCCAGCCACTGGGTGGGCGAACGTTTATCTTCAACCCCCCACTGGGCCCGTGGACCAGCCTGGCTTCCCTCTGCTCCCCGCCGCCCGCTCTCCCAGTCGCTCCAGCCCCAGCCGTCCTCCCGTGGTTCACCGACCGACCTCGCGTTGCCCGGGCCCTGGCCTGTGGATGCCACTGGTGCCCAAGCGTCTTCAGGGCTGTTGGCCGTGCCCTCCCTGAGGCTTCTGATCAGCGCAGTCGGGCTGTTGGTCCTGGTGGCTCGTCTGCTGCGGGACAGGCGCGCCCTCCCAGCACCCTCTGTGGCGGGCCTCCTTCCCGCCCCGTAAACAGCCTTAAGACCTGCTTCTCACCAGTCAGCAGCCTTAAATGCTGGTCGAAATCCAGCCGTTTTCACACCCTCTACCTTCCTGTCCATCTTCAGGAAACATCTGGGCCTGGACACGGCACTGAGCCGCCCCTGCTCGGCTCCCGGCTGCTCCTTCGCATCGCCGCCCTCTCCTTCCTTCTCCGCCCTCCAGTGCTCGGCCCGTGTCTTCTCTGCCCTATGGCAGTGCCCTCTCCCCTCACTGTCCTGTCCCAGCCCCTCAGGGAGTAGGGAACCCGAGGCTGCAGGGAGGAGCATGGGCCTCAAGGGGCCTCCTGCTGAGGGTCTGTACCCGAGAACCAGGTCTTCGCTGGGGGGGGCAGGGCCCTGCCTGTGGACACCTCCTTTCCTGTCCTCCCTCCCCCAGCCCCCCCCCACTTCTCTGCCCAGTGGAGACCTTTGTGAGGAGGGTCTCCTGGGGGCACACCTCTTGCCTCCTGGGTCACTGCAACCACCTGGCCCCCTGGGGCCTTGTGTCCGGGGCTGTGTCCCAGACAGACCTCCTGGGGCTCCTGGAACAGTGGGCCCTTCTGTCGTGGTGTAGCCTTTCCTCCACGCTCCTCGGGCTTCTCAGCCTCAGGCACTCACAGCCCCGACTGCTCCTGCTCCTGGAACTGTTCTAACTGTGTGCACGCGCGCGCCCGTGTGTGCACACGTGTGTGTGTGTGTGTGTGTGTGTGTGTGTGTTTGCATGCTCCTTCCTCTGGCTTCTCTGTTTCTGGCATTGCTCCTGCTCCCGCACATGTCCGTGCTCCTGGATCGGCCCTTTGTGGTCCTCTATCCTGTGAACTCTTAACTCGCCCAGTTAAAACAGCTACATTTTTCTGAATCGGACCCAACCTCTGCTCCATTTCCTGATGTCTCTGGGACGCCCCCCACCACTAACTCAACAGAACCAAACCCGAACCTGCCATTTCACTCCCCATTCTCCACCCACCAACTGGCTTCACCCCTTGGACCCCCCATCGCATCGGAAGGACCACTCCCCCTCGGACTCAAGCCCGAATGCCCTGTGCTGAGCCCGCCCTCCCTCTCACCCCAGGGGCTGCCTCTGGGGCTGTCGCCTTCTCCTCACTGTCCCCCCGGCTCCACCGCTTCCTTACACAGAACCGGCGTGGCCTTGTTGGAGCCTGTCCTCCTGGCCCTGCCACTCGGTCCAGGTGCTAAGTGCTCGCCGGTGCCAGGAGCTGTTCGAGGTGCTGAAACCGCGCTGACTGCACCTGCCCTGCTGCCCTGCCCGGCCTCGGGCCTGAGTGTGCAGCCCCTCCTTTAAGCCAGGGGTCCTCAAACTTTTTAAACAGGGGGCCAGTTCACTGTCCCTCAGACTGTTGGAGGGCCGGACTATAGTTTAAAAAAAAACTATGAACAAATTCCTATGCACACTGCACATATCTTATTTTGAAGTAAAAAAACAAAATGGGAACAAATACAATATTTGTATTTGCATGTGGCCCGCGGGCCGTAGTTTGAGGACCCCTGCTTTAGCCCTGGCTTAGCTGTCGCCTTGTCCGCAAAGCCTTCTCGGGCTCCGGCCCTCCCAGGAGTCCCGTCTCGCAGTGATTTGTTTGCACATCTGTCTCCACTCTAGGCTGGGGCTCCCAGAGGACTGGAGCCTGTCTGACTTGCTTTTAAAGTTCATTTTCATTCAGCATTGAGTAGGTGTTTACAAAGAATAAAAGAATACTTATAAATATGTGCAAGAGGTAAGGGCAACAATACCGTGAACACCTGTGAGGACCCACCTGCCATGGGAAGAGACGTGACCCATTCATACCATCCACCCCTGTCGCTGGGCCGGACAGCAGCCGGGTCAGGGAGGGCTCGCGAACGACTGAATGCCCAGGCGAGTGGCGCGCCTCCAGTTTCCTCAGTGGGGATCGGTGCTGCGGGGCAGACTCCAGGTGAGGAGGTCATCACTCAACCCCATGTCTGCCCCTCTCGTGAGCTCACTGCGCTGCTCACACGTCTTCCGTTGACCTTGCTCTGCTTACGGCGTGCCCACTCAGCGCCAGGCCTGGTGTCAGAGAGCTCGCTCTTCCTGGGGGGTGTGCACTGGACAGCTCTTCAGAACAGTGTCCAGCGAGGCCCCCTGCAGTGCTCCCACCCTCCACAGCCTCCCTGCGGTCCCCAGAGCAGGAGCCCAGCTCACCCCTTGCAAGTCCCAAAGGCTTTCCGAGTCACTTAACTTCTTTGTGTGGCTGTTTCCTTGTCTGTAAAACGGTCAGAGTGGTCCTGCCCCCTGGATTGAAGGAGTTAATGTGAAACAGCTGCTTGGCACACGGCGGGGCTCGTGGTGCGGGCCTGGCTGCCATTGCTGCCTCTGTCATCCACAGAGATTCTGTGTGGCAGGCTGGGTGCGGGCAGAGGTCGGAGAGGACTCCCTGCAGGGGAGGGTCGAGTACCAGGCTTCTGGGCTCGCCCTCTCTGTCCTTCCCTCACTTCCGGGTGAGGATCATAAAAACACCTTTCACACATCCGGCAACACGGATACAGCAGAAATGGCGAAATTTCTCCGAAGAAACCAGGGACCTCGCACGCCGGGAGGGGCTGCAGTCCTTCCCATGGTGCCAGGGCTCTCGTAGCCTCTGGGTGGCTTTCAGGGGCTGCTTTCACATCGCAGCCCAAGTAGCCATCGTCAACAAGGAAACTGTGGGTCTAGCCAAGTGGGAGTGTTTCCTAACGATGCCTAGAAACTAGTCCACCTGGAGGCCCGAGGGCCAGGCCCTGCGCGTGGGCCAGAGGTGCCGCAGCACCGCCTGGTGGTCCTCACAGCCGGTGGCAGAGATGGCCCAGCGGGGCTGGCCGGCCCGGGCTGCCTGTCCTACTGAAGGGGAAGTGCAGGCCTGTGAGACTGAGGGGGGCTGTGTGCTGCTCTTGGCTGATGAAAGAAGCGTTGGGTGGACATGTAATAGAATTTCTTTGGGGGGAAGAGTCTGTTTTGGACCGAGGGTGTGTCTGTCGCCAGCAGTTCCCTAGGAGAGAGGAAGAGCTGCAGTGCCTGGCGTGGGCCTCCGGGGGCTCCCGGCCTCTCGCCTCCGAGTGGCTTGTCCTGAGATGCCTACCAGTTGGCTCCTGGGTCTCGTTGGCAAGCGATGGCCTTCATATAGAGGCAGCAAACATAGAGTCTCTTCCTGTCAGGCAGGCCCTGCAGGGCTGGGCTCTGGGGCAGAAGGGCAGGCCAGGCCGCTCCGTGGGCAGCGGTGGCCCGGCCTCTGCCGTGGCTCCTGGCCAGGCTGCCCTGCCTCCGGGTGCCAGGCGCCACCCAGGTGAGCACAGGCTGAAGCCAGCATGGGCTCCGGGCCGGAGAAAGCATTGCCTTTGGCTCCTTGTGCTCAGCGTCTGTCAAATTGGAAAAGAAAAACTGGCAGAAATGAACCTCAGTCGGGTCGAAGGAGAAGGTAGGGAAGGGAGCTGGGTGTAGCTGACGGTTGGCTTCTGCCTCATTGCGTCACCTCATTGCTGGCTCGGGGTGGGGCCGGGCCCGGCGGACTTCCTCTGTGGTTCCTCTGGGGCTGATGCTAGAACTCCAACCCCACCCGGCCTCGCTCTAGCAGAACAGTAACAAGTCCCCCATCTGGATGGGATTGGCCTGGCTCCAGGCCTGCGGGGGCGCTGCCAGGAAGGCCTTTCTCCGCCGGTGATGGCATTCGGCAGGTAGTGGGTGCCCCACCTCCAGCTGTCAGCTCAGCCTCTGAAGAGGCCCCGTGATGTCACGGACCTGCCCGAGCAGCCGTCCGGACTTGAGCTGTAGCCTGGAGACACCTGGGGGGACAGGTACTAAGGTCACCGTCCTGCCTCCACACCCTCCAGGTAACTGTCTGTGGTTCCGCCCGAGAGTCAGGCCGTTTAGGATGGCCCTGGGCGCTTCCTGTGTGGTTTGGAGCCTGGTGCTCCATGTGGTCTGCAGACTGTAACAGGCCTCACCTTAGGACTCTTCCGGATGCAGACCCAGCCCACACTTCCTGAGCGAGAACCTGCGCTTCTTCAGGAGTGAGAGGGACGCTCTTGGTCCGACCGGAGGGCCTGGTACTGAGCGCTCACTGGGAGACGCTGGTCAGGCCTGAGTACGCACCCAGCGGAGCACTCGCCGTGGTGGCGGGTCCTGTGCTGGGCAGCACGAGGAGGGTGGCGGTGGGCGTGGGAGAGCCGCGCAGGCTGCTTCTCTGTGACGTGTCCCTAACGTAGTCCTTTTCCATGTCATTTCAGCGTCTCCAGGAGACTGGACCCCAAGGAGCCCCTGGGCAGCCAGCGGGCAGCTTCGCCGACCCCGAAGCAGGCTCCTGGGGCTGTTCCCGGCCATGAGGGCGCCCGGGAGACAGGGGCCCAGGGCCCGGCCGGCCAGGAGGCTGGGGGCCCCCGCCGGACGCTGCAGGTGGACAGCAGGACGCAGAGATCAGGGCGGTCCCCCTCCGTGTCACCAGACAGAGGCAGCACCCCCACGTCCCCTTACTCCGTCCCCCAGATCGCCCCCCTTCCCAGCAGCACGCTGTGTCCCATATGTAAGACCTCGGACCTCACGTCGACCCCCAGCCAGCCAAACTTCAACACCTGCACCCAGTGTCACAGCAAGGTCTGCAACCAGTGCGGGTTCAACCCCAACCCCCACCTGACCCAGGTGAGCACCGCCGCCCCCTCCCGCTCCCTTCCCCTCTGTCACCAGCTCTCTCTCCCTCTCATGTCCCTTGGCCACCGGCCTCTGTGTCTTCCTGGGCTTGTATTCTGGCTCCAGATGTGGCAGCGGAGACCAAGGCCTGGCCCAGGTCCTGTGGGTCCCACCTCCTGGAGGCGTGGGCGGCCCCAGAGCCGAGGCGCTTCTCACCTGGTCCGAGTTTGACCTGGAAAAATGGCGTTGCGAGGACCAGGCATCTCGTGGACACCTTTCCCCATGGGACTCATTGAGGAGGCCGAGGCCAGCCTCTCCCTGACACGGGCCGAGGGAGAGCGAGGTGTGGGAGGCAGGACACTGCCCTGCGTCTGGGGCTCCCCTTCTGCGCTCCACTTGTTGGTCAGCCAGGGCCAAGCGTTCACATGGGAGACGGTGCCCACGCTCACCGGAGGCCACTTGGGGGCCATTTCCCTGAGCTTGGCCTTCCTTCTGCCCCAGAGGCCCTGTGCCTACAGCTCCCCCCGCCCCCGGGGGTGCTCAGCCACCCCGGAGGCTCCCTGGCGACCTGGAGGCTGCTGCTCACGTGCTCTCGCTGAGCCGGCCGTGCCTCCTCGCTCTGCTCCGGGCAGTCGGGATGGAGCGGGTGCTGACGGCAGACACAGGCATGGCCCCTCTGGAATCAGCAGCGGGAGCCGGGGGACCACACGGTGGGGGAAGTGGGAATATGTGTTCACAGGTCGGGTCTATTTGTGACACGAGGTGCCGTGGGTGTGGGACGCGTGGTTTGCGAGAGGTAAGTGTGAGCTTGCAGGAAGGAGCTGCGGTGGGTGACTCAGCGCTTGGAGTCATTCCTGGAGTGCGGGGGCTTCCTGAGGAGGCGGCGCACGCGTGATGGTACATCTGGGATCAGAGACAGCCCGTCCCTGCCCCGATGGTAGGGAAGTGTTTGCCTTGAGCCGAGGACAGTGTGGCTGAGGCCCAGGCCGCTCACCTGTGCCTTCTCCCGGGGGGAAGCAGGCCACCTGTCCTCGTGGGCAGGGATGAGCTGCCGCCCTGGCGTCCCCTGTGCCGGCCTGGCCTCTGGGTTCCCTTCCTCAGATGCTCGCTCAGCTGCAGGACCAAAGGGCTTCGGGTGGGTGGGCAGCGATCCCGGGGAGCCCGCACGTGGCACCGCTCTCCTGGTGGCATCCCGGCCCTCACCACACGTGGGCTCCTCCACGCCCGGCTCGTGGGCGCAGGCCGCCTCTGCGTGTGCCTGGGGAGCAGCCGGTCCATCTGCCCCGCTGCTGGGAGGAAGCCGAGGCTCAGGGCCAGGAGGGGCCTGCACTCGCCCTGACGCGGTCTGGAGAAGAGCGGGCGGGGCTGGACAAGGCCACGGCTCTAGCCCTGAGGGTCTCGGCCGGGCGCACGAGGCCGTGGCGCGCCTGGGCAGGGCTGTGCGCAGACTCGCTGCCACGGGTGTCAGGGCTGCTGTTCCCTGGCCGCCGGCATGGGAAATGCTGGCCTGTCCGCCAGGCTCTCGCCTGGTGGGTGCCCTTCCTGCCGGGCTCCTCCTGCCAAGGAGCAGGGGCCTGGGGCACACCGTCCCAAGGGGCTGGGGGCCTAACTCTTGAGTCTGGAGGGGCCTGTTCCTTGGTGGAGAGCCGCTCACGCCCGGTCACACTTCCACGCAGCGAGGACCAGTCGGCAGGGTTTGCTGGTAGCCCCCCCCCCCCCCCCCCCGCCCAGACCCCATCGCCTGGGCACCTCTGATGCGACGCTCTCGGGACCCGTCCGGGCGGAGGTGCCTGGCACTGCTGTGCGGGAGGTGAGCCGGGCCGAGGGCCTGGCAGCCTGGAGGTCACGGCAGCAGGAGGCATTGCCTCTCAGCTCCCCCGAGAGGGACGGGCCACACAGTCACCTGGAGGCCTCGTGGCCTCGCCGAGCTCGTGAAGCAGCTCTTGGACCTCTGCACAGGCGACGTGGGGATGGGCCCTGGTCAGTGTCACGGGTGAGTCACTGGCCGGCCAGGGAGTGTGGGAGCCGCTGTGCCGAAGGCTCCGTGAGGACCGGTGAGCGGGACGGAGGGGGGCGGGCACCACCGGCCCGGTCCGCAGACTCAGTGCCGCGGCTTTTCTGTCTCCTGCCATCTGTCAGGTCCTTCACTTTCGCTGGGTCCCCAGGGACAGCAGGCAGGTCTGGAGCCGGGACACACAAAGGCACGGCTGCCCTGTTGGCAGAGCCGTCTCTGGTCTGCGAGCACTGCCTTCCTGCGCGTGGACCACGCTGCCCTGGTCAGCGCTGGGGCTGCCAAGGGGAGCTCCACTCACGGGCACTGGTGGCCAGCTCCCCAGGCTGTGACGCCCTCACAGGAAGGTGCCCTCCACGCATGCTGCTGGGAGTCCACACGCCTGGACCCCACGGGGACGCAGGGAGGTCGGGAGGCGCTCAGAGCACCCTGCCCACAGAGGAGCAGCAGGTCTGGGAGCCGGCCTACCTGTGGCACCTGGAGCGAGAGAGCAGGGCCCAGAGCTAGTGGCAGGTCTCCGTCCGCCCGGGCCCTGGCCATTTCCCACCACAGTCCGCTTTGGCTCAGGCTGACGGCTCAGCAAGCAGGGCCCTCGGCCCTCTTCCTGGTGGAGGTCATCTCCTCCGGGCTCAGGGTAATAACACACTGCTCGAAACCCGGGAAACCCGGGAAAGCTGGCGGGCTCCCCGTGGGTCCGAACACGTCTCACCTCCGCCAAGACCATCCCGCGAGGCTGCCTGCTGCGCGGCCGGAGGTGGAGCCCTTCATGCCCGGTGGTGGGTGGAGGGCAGGAAGGCAGAGTTGGGGTGAGCAATGGATGGAGTGATATGGGCTGGAGAACAGGGGAGTGGCCTACGGCAGGCATAGCCCCGGCCAGCCCTCCCAGAGGCCCCGCCTCCCCTCCCCACTCCCCCCACCCACCTCAGTGCAGCCCAGCAGCACCTCCTGGCTGGGCTCCTCCCTGCCCATCGCCCTTTCTCTGGTCAAAGTTGCTTATAAGCCCCTTGAAGAAAATGATGGAGAAGTGAACATGGCCTTTCCTGGCCTATTCCAAAGTCTAGACTTTGCCGAGACCAAGCCAAGCATGTTTCGTCCACTGTGCTCCCACCATCCCCCATTGCAAGTCTGGCCGGCTGCTTCCCCAGGGTGGGCGGTGTGAGAAGGGAGGGAGTGCGCAATGGCTAAGGTCCTCCTCCTCTGCCTGCATCCCACTCCTTCCTGGCCAGCCGGGCTGGGCACCAGATGGCCGGGGGCGGTGCTGGGAGCAGCAAACCCTTCCCAGCAGCCTCCAGCCTCGCCCCCGTCCCGGCTCCCTCCTGGCCACACTGCCGCCCAGGCCCAGGCCGGGAGGAGCGCGGGCAGGTGTGAGAGGAGAGGCAAAGGTGTCCTCCCCCCACCTCCAGCCCAAACGGAAGCGGGTCCCCAGGGGCAGGCCCTTGGCGGGCGAGGCCTTTCTCCCTCTGGCCAGTGTGGGCAGCCAGCCTGGCAGCATGAACATGGCAGCAAAAGAGAGAAATAGATAAAGCGGGACCAAGAGGGGAGGGGGCAGCGGGACCGATAGAGAAAAGCAGAGGCAGGAGCGGCGCGAGGAAAGCGGAACTGGCTGTTTCTAGGATCTGCTTCGCTCCACCTTTGGCCCGGGCAGGCCGCCTGGGTCCCTCCCAGAGGGTGGCCCTCAGCTTCTTCAGCCTTTCCTCCTTCTGTGGGTGCCTTTCGAGTCCTTCCCAGGAGCTGGGCACGGCCCTTGATTCTGGAGAATCGGGTGGAACGGAAGCCGACGTGCCGCTCAGCCCTGGAGCCAGCGGCCAGTGGGAGAGGCCACCTTGACCAGGAACCACCCAGCCAGCGCAGGGCCCTCCCGGCGCCAGGGCTGCGGAGGCCGGGAGGAGGCCGGGCGCCTGGTGCGAGGCGGTGGCAAGACTCCTGGGGCTTCCACAGGAGGGAAGCTCGGCTGCACCTTAGACTGAGCTGGACGGGAGCGGGTGGAGGCGGGAGGCCTGCGGGAGTTCGTGGTCCATTTGGGGGCCTGGGGGCAAGCCAGGTCCAGGGAGGCCGGATCCATGGCCAGTCTCGGACGCCGGGCAGGTTTCCAGGGCCTCCCTCGGGGGCTTGACCTGATGAGATTGGCACAGGCGCCCCCTGGGCCATGCCCGGCCGAGCCAGCCTGGATGGGGAGCCCTGCACTGTAGGGCTCTGTGTGCCGGCCCCTGAGCCCGAGGCCAGGCAGTTGACAGGCGAAGCAGATTGTGGGGATTTAGGAAAACCGGATGCTGGAGGGACCCGGCCCCTCCTCTGCCTGCCCTTGTCCCGGGGCCACAGTGGGGTGCGTACCTCCTATCGGGGCCTGGCTAGTGACTCAGCCCGGACGAACATGGAGTCACGCTGGCTGGCGGGCCCTCCCGGAACCTCTGGGTTGGGCACCAGCAGGGAGGGCTCATTTGTAAGCTGTTTCTTGGTGCTTCAACCGGCACCAAAATAGAAAAAAGCATGACTGCAGCATCAGGCCCCCGCCAGTGCCCAGGGTCCGCCACTCTGAACTCTGCTCTCCAGGGAGGCGGGCCTCCAGGCGGGCGGGCGGGCGGCACTGCTGACGCAGGAAGGCAGGCCCATGACGCCTGCAACCCCCTCCTTGCCCGCGGCGCGGTGGGGAGCCTCACCCACCAGAAAGAGAGCCTGTGACTGCTGGGGGCCCAGAGCTCCTGGCAGCCGTGGGGTGGCAGGGAGGAGGCACCGCCCCGGAGTAGAAGCAGGTACCTGGGCAGCCTCCTCCGGGGCCCCACCCTCTGCGGTTAAGGTGCGGGGTGGCCAGCTTCAGCGTCACGTCACGGGTGCCTGTGGGGAAGATTAGAAGCCGCCTAAGCTCTGCCCCACGCCCCCTCCTGCCCAGAGCCAGCGGAGCGCGGCAGGAGGCACTGCAGACAGATCACCACCGGCCGCTCACTCGCCGTGGCACTCACAGAGCCCGGCCTGGTCGCCAGGCCTCGGGTGGGCAGTGCCGCCTTAGCTCTCCTCCTGCCCGTTGAGCAAAGCAGCTGAGAAAGGCCCTCGGAGCCCCCGAGCCCACAGGCTCTGCCCTTCCGACCGGCAGGCCCTTGGCAGCGCGGGCCGTGGCTCCCTGGGGACGCTCCCTACAGGAGCTGCTTTCCTGTAGCCCCCCCCAAAGCTACCTCTTGGCCTGCACACCACCCGAGCCTCTGGTCCTGTGGCTGCCAGGCCCCTGCTGGGCGGTGGTGCCTGGGGGTCCATGGAGGCCACCAGGGCTGAGGTGGCCGCCTGGCCTCCTGCTGGCAAGGCCAGTCCTGGGGTCCCTGCTCTGCCTCTGGCTCTGAAGCCCTGAGGCTTGGCTGGCGGCTGCCCACCTCCTGGCCATGTGCCAGGCCTGGTTCACGGACAGCAGACCTCCAGGAGGTTTCTGGTCCCTCCCATCTGGTGGGCGGCGGCTTGGGGGTGCCAAGGAGCTGCGGGCACTGTGGAGTTGAGGAAGACTCGCCACTGCTGGTCCCGGGGCCGGGGAGTCTGCTGCAGGCCCGGCCTGTAGACCCAGCAGAGAGCTCCATCCTCTGAGAATGGAGGGAGAGGCCAGCAAGCTCCTGGCGATCTGGGGGAGGCAGAAGGGCGTTTGTGGGTTCAGAGAGCCCCCCAGCCAGTGTCCTCCCTGGGAGGCCCTGCGTGCGGGTGTCTGCCTGGGCCTGACCTGGGCACGGGGAGGGTGTGGTCAGGCTCTGGGCGCGAGTCCCGGGCCGCCAGCCTTCCCTGGAGCTTCCATTTAGGTGAGGCGCCTGTTCACAGCCTGGCTGACGGGCCGGGAGGGAAGGCTCTGGGGTGAGTGCTGGAGCCTTAGCACCTGCCACCCCTGTGCAGCCCCCTTCAGACCCCAGGGAGGTCGCCCTGAGAAGCCTCACCACTCAGACCCCTCTTCCCAGGAAGCCCCACCCCACGCGTGGAGACAGCAAAGCCGTGACTAGACCCGGCTGCGGGGGTTTACACTGAGCGCCCAGAGCGGGTTCTGATGGGGACCCTCTGGGTCTGAGACCTGGGGCAGAGGGAGGGTGAGTGCAAAGCAAGCTCAGAGCACACGCGGCGGAAAGGGCCCAGGGGCGCGTGGGGGCGGCACCAGAAGGGGCGGAGCCCATGAGAATATGCTCAGGCTTCTGTGTGGAGCTCTTAGAGGGAAAAATATTATTGGCTCGTGTGACTGGAAGTCCAAGGGCAGAGTCAAGACAGCTGAGTCCAGAGAGAAGGAGCCAGATCTGCACCTCTGTCTTGCTCACTTCGGACTGTCGTCCCCCCGTGTCCCCCCGCGTCCTGGGAAGGAGGCTCCTGACCTTCCAGGAGGCGAAGAAAAAGACCCGCTTGCTCCTTCACACGTGACAGGGCTCGGCTCCCCCTGGCCCTGTTGCCAAGGTCACATGCTCATCCTTGCACCACCATCTAAACCACTGATTGGTCAACGAGAGTCACATGCCCACTCGACGGAGGGAGGGGTTGGTGACAGGTAGAAACTGCACGTCTGTCGCGTGAATAGCAACACGTGTCTTGTTGGTTCTGGAGGCACAGACCATCCCTTTTCTTAACCCGTCTGTCCTCCTGGGGGACAAAGGGCCAGCCCACCCCGGCGGCCGCTCGCCTTGTGCGCCTGTTTGCTCTCGAGTTCTCTTGCCTCCTGCCTCCTCGGCTGGACGCCCCCAGGACAGGGCCTGTGTACGCGCGGCCGCCCTCTCGCACCCGCTCTGTTATGCATCTTCCTGCAAGTCCCCCTGAATGCCGGCTGCCCCGGCTGCCAGGCCCACTCCCCTCCCTCCTGGCTGCTGCTGGGTGATGGCTGGAGGGAGCGGCTGGGGGAGAGGGGGCCCGTGGAGGCTGTGAGGTCATCAGCCGGGAGGACAGTGGTGACTGGTGAGGCGGGATGTGGGGTGCGCTGGTGCACGCAGGTCTGAGACACGGCCAGTGGGCAGTTGGGGGACTGTCGAGCGGGAGGGCCTGGCGGGCAGTGGTTGGTGGCTGTGGGGTGGGATGGGGAGTGTGTGCCTGCCTCTGCTCTGCTTCCTGTGCCTGGCAGCTCCTAGCGGGCAGCGTAGTGCCCTCCGCCCTGGAAGCCCGGGACCCCCCGAGCAGGGCTGGCGCCCCTGCCTGTGCTGGGAGCTGCTCGACGGCCGTGGCCTCGGCCCGGGCCGCCTGCTGACACGTGCTTCCTCCGCAGGTGCAGGAGTGGCTCTGTCTGAACTGCCAGATGCAGAGGGCGCTGGGGATGGACATGACCACGGCGCCGCGCTCCAAGAGCCAGCAGCAGCTGCACTCGCCCGCGCTGTCCCCTGCCCACGCCCCCGCCAAACCGCCCCTGGGGAAGCCGGAGCAAGAGAGGCCCCGGGGCCCCGGGGGACCACAGCCGGGGCCCCGCCCGGCGGAGACGGCCAAGGCCACCACAGTGCCGGGACCTGCCCAGGCAGCTGCCCCTCCCGAGAGGGGGAAGGTGTCTCCTCAGCCCCCTCACCCCGTCAAGCCTTCCACAGCCGAGCCCCGGCCCCCTGCGGGAGAGGCCCCGGGCAGAAGTGCCACCGCGGTGCCCCCCGGGCCTGGCGCTGCTGAGCAGGCCCAGGAGGGCCTCACGGGGAAGCTCTTCGGTCTCGGCGCGTCGCTGCTGACCCAGGCGAGCACCCTCATGTCCGTGCAGCCTGAGGCCGACGCCCAGGGCCAGCCCGCCCCCAGCAAGGGGCCACCCAAGATCGTCTTCAGTGATGCCAGCAAGGAGGCTGGCCCGAGACCCCCAGGCTCAGGGCCCGGGCCTGGGCCTGCAGCTGGAGCCAAAGCTGAGCCTGCAGCCAGGGCAGGCGCCGCATCAGGGCCCGGAGCCCCGGCGAGAACTGGGGGGACACCCAGCCCAAAGCATGGCCGAGCAGAACAGCAGGCAGTGCCCAAGGCTGCTGCCAAGCCAAAGGCCATGCCGAAGGACAGGCCCACCTGCCCACTGTGCCAAGCCGAGCTCAACGTGGGCAGCAAGGGCCCAGCCAACTACAACACCTGCACCGCCTGCAAGCTCCAGGTGTGCAACCTCTGTGGCTTCAACCCGACACCGACACCTGGTGGAGGTAAGGGACCCGGGGTCGGGGGGGCACGGGCAAGTGGGAGCAAAGGACCCCGCGAGCTGGGGCTGAGCCGCGGGGCGCCCTCCACCGCGGATGCCCTGAGGGCTGCCCTCTCTTCTGTCCCTGCCCCGGCCGCCCCTCCACTCAGAGACCTGACTGGCGCGGTGGGTGCGGGTGGTGTGCCTGCTGCCTCTGCCTGGCTGAGTGCCCTGAGGCTGGTCCCAGGGTCTGCCAGGCTCAGGAGGCCCTGAACTGCCTCCCCCCACTCCCAGCTCTCATGGCAGGACCTGGTGACAGATGCCAACCCCCTCTGCCCAGGGAGGAAGAACCTGGGGTCCCACCTGCCCTCGGCCTGTGCCCCTCACAGGGTGGAGGGCTGTGGGCCCCAGGAGAAGGCAGGCTTCTCACCATGGGCAGGCCGTGCCCCGCGGCCCAGGCCCTGGCCCAGCCAGGGGTGTCCACCTCCATCCCTTCCTCAGATCCTTGGTGGTGGGTGTTGATGTTCGCTTGTCAAAGCCTCAGCCTTCGGTCCGTGTTTTCCCGGGCGGCCTGCTCCCCTGGGCCTGCTTGTGGGGCGCTCAGAGGCGCTCTCCCGAGCTGCAGGAGGATTTGAGATGGGGGCTGGGGCCGTCTCTCCGCAGCCCCTGCTCCAGGGAGAGGTGCTGAGCGCTGCAGAGCTGGGTGGGAGGGAGCAGGACGCCCCCTGCTCTGGAGAAGCCTGGGCCCCGCCTGGGAGGCTCAGATGGTGCGGAGCCCCCTGGTGGAGCTGCTTCTGACCCTCCCCGACCCACTCTCCCTGCTCAGGACCCCGGGGGCTGCTCGGCTGCCCTGGACAGAACTGCCCGTGTCCCCTTCTGTGGGTCTGTGATTGGCTCATCCCTGCTGTCATGTGGGGGGCAGGGCGGGGCGGGGGGCAAGCCAAGGCCCTGCTGGGCTGAGCCATGCACGGAGTGTGGAGTGCAGACCCTGCTGCCGAGGGTGGGACAGTGGAGCAGGACGTGGTGTTGCCATGGTCTGTGGGCACCGTTCTGACGCGCCTGGGGCCAGGCCACCCTGGGTCTGTGGGAGAGAACGACAAGTGAATGGATGAACAAGGGGATGGAGGAGCAGGGGCAGGTGGAGGGGGAGAGATGAGCGCAGCTGGGTCCTAGCCCCCAGGCACAGGGATTCTGCCTGCTGCCTCTCACCCTGTCCTCAGTCCCCAGAGACTGGCCCGGCCAGGTCTCCCCTGGCTCCACCCCTCCCAGCCCCATGCCCCTACCCTTCCCCTCCCCAGGGCTGGTCCGGTGTTTATTTTTAGCTCACAGCTCACATGCTGCCTCCTGCCAGCCGTCCCTCTCTTCCTCACTGCCTGTGTAGCAGGGCCCGGAGGGGGGCCTCCATGTGTTAGCAGGGGCAGGAACACGCCTGGAGAGGGGCCTCCATGTGTTAGCAGGGGCAGGAACACGCCCGGAGGGGGGCCTCCATGTGTTAGCAGGGGCAGGAACACGCCTGGAGAGGGGCCTCCATGTGTTAGCAGGGGCAGGAACAGGCCTGGAGAGGGGCCTCCGTGTGTTAGCAGGGGCAGGAACAGGCCCGGAGAGGGGCCTCCATGTGTTAGCAGGGGCAGGAACAGGCCTGGAGAGGGGCCTCCGTGTGTTAGCAGGGGCAGGAACAGGCCGTGGAGAGGGGCCTCCGTGTGTTAGCAGGGGCAGGAACACGCCCGGA